GTTTAAATGTTATCAAGATAAATTGAACGCACGGTGCGTTGTTTTTACATCTGGCTCCGAACTGAAGCTATTCTAAATTGTGAGAACAAATCAGTACTGCAGTCTCTGATAGTGAGTGTTAAAAGCTAGATTATTGTTTTTCATCCAGTCGATCAAATCATTTATTTGCTTGCACTGCACACCACGCCAGCAATCCACAAGTCATCAAACGCTGACGTTACATTAGTTTCATGTATGTGTTATCAACCATGGAGCTTAAGTACAACAATTCTTCTTTAGCATTTCTAAGATACACTTTCGTGCGTAGAATGTCCATAATAAAGTCCACATAGAAGCTCAAGGTACCAGCAACTTAAATCTAGAAGTACCGACGCTGGAGTTTTATCCCACAGTAATAAACGATTCGATAGCACGCAAGAAATGTCCAACCAATTATCAGTTTAAAGTATCAACGATAAACCATCGACGAGTACACAACTGGTTAAATAGTTCATAATATTTACAAGGATGTTCGAAAGTAAACCCGTTTCAAAATTACATATTCAAATGGACTTAGTCTTAAGGCGCCTGAAGTGCGGAACTAGTTGAAATTTATGGCCTTACTTAGAATAAAGATGTCGGTAGGCTCTTAATTAAAGCATAAATTACAGTCTGACGTATATATAAGCATTTTATCTGGTGTTCTTTAGTCGTCACGGCAAGGGTGAATTTCCTCGAGGGCCGTTGAAAGTGGAAGAGGAAACTAGACGAATTTGTGTTTGACATGCAAGATTTTAACCAGAGCATAAGTTTAGGCAAACATAAATTTCGCGAAGTATGTTTACGGGAATATTTACTTTGTGGTTATATGAGTTTAGAAAAGATTTCATTGCTCATCGTTAAACGATCGTATTCGAGACCATAATGGAAGTTTTGGAAAACATTTAATGTCGAAGTCTTTCTATATAAGGTTCACAATTGCTAGTAGCATGTCAAACCAAAATCGTTTAAACTGCATTGAGACAGCTTCCACTTTCGAGAAACACTTTTAACAAAAATAAGCAGTTAAAAGAGCCAGCTGAGGGAGAAAGATATTCTTCAAACCTCCACTGTTACTCATTTGGCTCAGACAGATTGATTGATAACAATGGTCGTTGAGTAATTAAATCAAATAAAAACAAGTTCTAAGTTGAAGTAACTGTGTCACCTACAATGCTTTGTAAGCAACTGTAGAATCACAGAAATCATTTTATATATTTGCGTTGCATTGCGTCTAATAAAAACTTTTAGTTGTAAAAATTGCAAACACTAACTAACAAAAACATTAAACTTTCGATATAACCTGACCGTCTCCCGTGCTAACCCTTTTCCGTTTTTGTCAGTCTCGTTCATTAGCAAGATCTGTAAATTCAGCTTCCTAGATCTGAGTGTTAATAACATTAATAAACATAAGTTTGACTATTGTTTATATCGCACCTAGGCTCCGTCTCCCAACCGCAGACCGACGAAGTTTCATTTTAACATGTCTGCGCTAAATATTGTTCTAATATTGACGAGATATGATGCGCTGTTTGATGGAGCGTTGAGGCTATAAACTCCTCGCGTTAAGGATTATGAAAGGTGTCGAAGATGGAATCAGGACTACGAAATGGCCGATATACTATTGTCCTGAATGCGTAGACATTTTCTGGAAATTTTGAAAGTTTTCGCATATAAGGTTCAATATTTGAAAAGCCGACTAGCATTTTCGGAATCGATATAGCTAGTGTTTTTTTGTCATACTAAATCAAATGGTAGTTGGTGGTTCATACTCAGAAAATAAATTATAAATAAAATACAATCTCTGGAAATTCCTCCTTTTGCAAGAAGAACCACACACCAAAAACTAAATAGACAAATTTCATTTAATAATTTTTATTTTTCCATTAAAAACGCTGACATTGTATAATTTTTTGTTTCCAAATTATTTTTTATTTTTAAGAAAAAATTTTGGTGCCACTTTTGCTGTAGACTCTCAAATTGTGGATTTGAAATTTAATCATTAAACAATTTTGTTCCCAACCTTAAACGGGAACACGCAAATGCAATAAATTGACTTCAATGACACAATCGATTTGCATGCACTGCAGATATTTCTTGTTTTGATCCGATGTCTTACATTCGTACGGGAATTTTGCAGGGACGTGTGTTATTTTGGAAGGGTTAGGAGACTCGCTTCGATATAGAGAGATCTCCGACGTGAGTCGGAAGTTGATACAAAACAAGTTTCAATAAAAAATATGTGCGTACAGGGTGACCCCAAATCCCGGTTTTGGGACGTTAAAATTTTGAATATTTCCCTTCACTATTATTTCACTGAACGAGCAGATGTGTTATGATGTGTATTAATAAAAATTATTCCAATCGTAATAACAATATTCGGTTGTCTAAACTATTCCACGTACGGTTTATTCGTAACTAGGATATTAAGTCGTACTTTTACTGGCTTATTCAAAGTGAATACCAAAAGTTGCAAAAAAGTTACTGACGTACATCTCTTTGACAATATTAACGGAACGATACTAGCCTCCACAATTGCAAAAAATTTAATGAAATCGGGATGGAAATATTAGACATATTCTAAAAAAACCCCTTTTGTTAAATGTTTAGCCATTAATTTCTTGAAGCATTTCCAGATCTGAAACACTCTGTATAAAAGGCGCAACTACCCAAAAGTTTTGTAGCTACGTTCGGTTATATAGGTAAATAAATTTACTAGATAGTAATGGCAAAGGTTAAGATATGGATTGCGGCTTATCAATATGTGCACAGACATGCATATGCAATAATATATTAATTCATACATATGGTTCTGAGAACTGGCGACCGGTGTAGACTAAATGATGCATTCGTTCCGATTCAAGGTTGTTGGAAGCGGCAAATCCTTAAAACGGCTGTTTATCCAATTTGAATAAATTTTAATAATAATTAGCGAATCTAAGCGTGACCGTTCGTTTTGGATAACACCAATCGCTATTGACTGTTTGTTTCCAATAGGATTTTCATTTCGATTCTTCCATCATCATTCAGGAGGAAAACAAGGAACGTACATCGATCCCCGGTTTTGCTGCATCCATTTATTTTCCCATTATGTGTTTCTGAATCCTAACCCACTTTTCGTTGGGGGAAGGGAGGTCGTTTCGCCACGGCGCACCATATAATGTCTTTTCGCGACGTCTACGTCTAGGAAAAGGAAAATATCGTGGCAATATATTCGACTTCCCTCAAAATGCCACCACGGCAATTTCATAAATTGCTTACGGCAAAATAAAATGTTCAAGGCGTGTGTGTGTGTGCGCGCGCGCGCCATACACATCATAAAAGGGTTTTAAAATTGCCATATGTTTGGTTCAAGCCGGGAATATTAAAATTTTTATATTCGCCTGACCGGGTATTCAAGTTTTATGATATATTACTTATGGATTTGTTAGTTGGAGGGGACCGAAGTCCCGCAAATGTTTCATTAAAGCGGTTGAAAATATCGCTGAGCATTTCAAGATTTGTTGTCTAAAGATATTATATATTATAGATATAGATATGTCCGATGAAAAACAAGTTTAATTAAATACTACTATCGGGCAGTCGTTGGAATCAGTTCGCGTTTGCATTGAGGTTCTGGTGATTGCGCCATAATTTTCTATGATTATACGCCCCAGTTTACAAAGTTTTATTTTTAACAGTTATCAAGTACTGTTTTTTTTTGGCTCTCAAGGACATCGAAAATTTATTTTTCTTACTTCGCTTCTTGTTTTGAGGTTAATTAATCAGGACTTTCCAAAAACCCCTTCTGTAGACTTTCAACAACGATGCAAAGTACCTATCCAAATTTTTTCAAAATGGCTCTGAAGTAGTACTTGCGGTTAAGCAAATCTTCAACCCAAAGTGCTTCTCAAAAGTCATATGTCAAATCCTCTATAAAAAATAGATAATAAAATATTTTAAATAAGTTTCATGTTTGCTCTGATGCCAAATTCAACTAGTTTACTAGTTCAGTTAATATTATTGGAGTGGATTGGTTTTTGGCCTAAAAATTTACTGTTTTGATATGATTCGAAGACAAGTTCTATTTTTAGATTCGTTGTAACTTGTCAGATTTAAAATGAAGAAATTGCCACAACTCCCATCAATTTTACATGCCGTTTAAAGCAAAAAGAGTCGTGTGCTACTAATTTTCAAAATCAAAATTAATTTGTGACCACATAAAAGTGAACCTCTGTTAATCTAATTTTAATTTATGGCCAATATTTTAACCACTGGGAGAACATTTATATATATATATAAACTTTGGATAAATCTTCTAACAACTCTTTTGACGATAGAGTAGGGGTTTCTGTGTTTCAAAGACCGTAACAGTTTATTACCGGGAGTAAACAATGTAAAATGTAAGTTAATTCATTTAAATCCTACTATTTATTAGTTAAATAACAAAAAAATCACAACGCATTTGTTCTTCATGATCACTCGATATGACTATTTTCTCCTTGAAAATTAAATATCTATTATTATTGAGCGATATTGCAAATTTATTTTTAGAATCATCTCTTTTGTTAGCTTTGGTAACTTATTTACGATATTTGGCAAATGGCGTCCACTACTGGAGCAGATGAAATATTCGGTCCTATTAAAAAATTAAAATAACTTGTATATTATTCATTTTTCGATTTTGCCCGATTAACTTTAATTTTTAATCACTCGTTACGGCCCTGCGTTAACGGACCCATTTTGGCAAGGGCATTTTGCCGTGAAATATGTTCGGATCCTATCGGTTTTTGTTCACGCAATATTCCCGATTGCCATTAATTAATGAGCGCTCTTGTGTGTATGTTTGTGTGTGTGTATGTTTATGAATAACGTTAAATTAGAATCGCATTCGGTTTAACAGAGAATTTTTCTTTTTTTTTGTGGTTAAATTAACATGAAAATATATTTTAAACTGCCGAGATAATTGAATTAATGGCAAACAATTATTGTGCTTGTTTCAGATGTTTTTGTTTCGCCGCTGTATCGAAACCACCCCGTTATGCGCAATGGTGAGTAATTTTGTCTATTTGTATTAGCTCACTCACAAGTTCTATTTTAATCACCCGAATTTATAAGTACAGCGATTGGGACTTTTATTATATTATCAACATGTACGTAATATAACAATTTTTAATTTTAATTAATTTAGAACAAACTAATCGTTTTTGAGTAGCTTTGGTTAGTTGACAGTTGACACTTTTAGCGTTTGGAAAAAACCCTAGTGTTGCTGTGCATATACAATGCAAGAATCTAAATTTTCCAAAGCTTTTGATATCCCAACTTTAAAAAATATTGATCGTTTGAATAAATTTCTATAAGTTATAAATTTCTATAAGCTTGCTAACAAAAGCAAATACTCAGTGTAAACTTCTTATATACGAGTACAAAGTTTTCTTTCAAGTAATCTAAAAAAAAGAACTCTCATTAAATTGAACTTTAGTTGAATTTAATTTTTAATTATTGAAATGAAAACTGATCCAATATGAAAACTTCTTTTGACTCCCATTCTTAAAAGATAACATAACAGGACTTCTAGAAATCTCAGGGAAATATTTTCTTGATGTATTCTTCAGGCATTTTTTCATATAGTTTGTATAAAAGTACACGAGTATATTCGCAACGGTATATTCAGAATTTCTCGTCCGCAATTGATTGGCAATAATGATTTGTTCCCGGTTCACTGCGTAGACAGGGAAGTGTAGGTTTAAAGACAAAAAAACACTCGACTGGCGTCCGTCTAGATGGAGGCACCACTGCCCACATTTCGCCGAATATTTAAATGGTTTTCTTGCTTTTGCGTTTTATATTCATAGATATGGTTGGTAGCTGGGAAACGAAGTTGTTTATTTCAATACATATTTATGTTATTCAAATTAAATCTGGTGAACAAGCGGTCGCGGACAAGTAGATATAGGTGTGAAATCTTCTGGGAGCACAACGATGCCGTCCATTGCATAAGAATACAAGAAACGCTTGACTGTTGATTTCCTCGGAAGTAGACTGACAAAAACCAAGAACTCCATCCAATTCCTGAGCAGAAAATTAACAGGTTTAATTAGACGCGAAAGAGCGTCTTAAAAGTTGTTTACTGGGGAATATTTCAGAAAAATCCGTAGCCGTTCTCTAAACGGGGCATTATAATTTTAAAACTCTGAAATTGCCGCGCATATTTTAATAAAATAAAGTTACTTTAAGCGTACCTGAGAGAAAAACTTAAGCGAATTCGGTTAATTCTGGGAATTGTTTAAGTTTAAAATAATTTGCGCGATTATTTCGAAATTCTTGGCTCTTTTAGTTGTTCGTTTATATTCTAGTAGCGTCTTAATGCAATAATAGGTTCGGACTGCGAGGCAGTATTAATTTTACAACTAAAAACTTAATTTTACTTTAAGCCTTTCTCGGAATTTATTTCGCTATTTCCGACATAACTTCAAATCGTATTTTTGAGTTTATGACTACATAGTATTTTGCAATTTTTATTGTAAAACGCGTTAAAAATTATGTATATATTAACAACCAAATAAAATCCCCTATAAGCGGAAACCACAGTCTTTCTCTTGAGACGATGTTATATCTACATTTTAGAAATGCTCCCCTTTTCGACATATCAAGGGATGCGCTTGAAACATGTCTATGTTGTCAACTCAAGGCAGTTTAAATATAATTTGTGAATTTGAATTCGGAATAAGTTTTGGGTATTACTCATATCGCAAAAAATTTTTAGAACGAATCATGGTGGGTAAAACAACCTGTTGCCTCTTACATGACGTCTCTAGATTATCGCTCTTCCCACCTCCATGATCACACGATGATGGCACACGTTCATCTTCTGCATTTCCCTTAAAAGAAGTCACTGGTTAACAAAAGCAAAACTTTAACAATCTTTTATGGTCTGAGAGAAAACGAAAAACGGGTTTTCTTTCTTTAGTGTCTATTTCCCGCTTCCTATTACATGTAGCTTTCCATTAAACAAACACTTTCCCCCACGACATTTTTCGCGGTGAACTCCAGTCAAGAAGAAATGAACAAAAAAAGCAATCGTCTCGATACTTGAGCACGCAATGGAGGTTGTTGATCTTATAGCCCGCGGCATTAAAGAAAGTTCTTTCCGAATCACCAATATCGGTTTTATTTTTTATACGTCTGGCCGTTTTTTTTTTTCGTCTCGACGCTAGAATTCCCAGCCTACATAACCCAAAACATTACTTACTTCTTACTTACTAAACTTTCTCTCTTGTCACGCATATCTCTGACATTTAGATAATATCTGACTCAAAACGATCATCTCTGCATATCGTTGTCTACTTTTACGTGGTAAGTCGGGATTGCCAAACGCTACGCCACTGTCGAAATGTACGCCGTAAAGTAAAATGTACCTATGCGTGACGGTTCTTTATTCACGCACGTGTTACGTATGTTCTTTGTGCACACCACGCTTCGGGGTACGCTTTAAAAGAGAGCAGGATCCTAAAAATAATATGACGAGCGATTTCCTGACTATTCTAGGCGCCGAACCCTTTGGACGGCGAAAATACGCATTTTTTATGACAAAGTGCAATGCATTAGTTTCTAGTACCTATTTATCACCTTGTCTTCTGAATTAAGACAGATGCTGGAATCAACTTCTTAGGTAGCCAACCAACTCCTTCTGCTAATGAAACTAGCAGCTAACCGTTGTAACCTATTGTAAATTGGTATGAATCAAATTGGCATCTCGAACAGTAACAAAAACACAGAAGCCTTAAAACGCTAGCGACGCCGTGAAAAAATTTAAATAAAAGACATAGACGGTTCCTAATCGACTAACAAAGGAAAAGTTTCTTCTTGTGCTTCTTTAGTGACAACCGTCCACTAAGTTTTATACTCACCTCCAAAAATGCTAACTTATTACCATAAATATAAAATATAGGATGGATATGGATCATTTATATAAGTATAGAGAGGGAAGGTGGCTGAGTGTTTTACCTGCTTCCACTCGTATATTAACCATTTACCTGCCAGTGTTCTACCTTTGTTTATTATGTCCTGGTGTCGTACACTCGACAGAGATAGCACCCATTTTGTAGTTTCCACTTCAAAACCGGGTCGTATTTTTGAAAAACTGTTGCCGAAACTCGCAAGGACTTAGTGAAAGTGTACCAAAAAGAAAAGAAGAAAATTGTCAGAAATGTGAGTTGTTAAAAATTGTCAAAAAAGTGAGGCAAGGCACGATGATGCTGCAGCAGTATCTGTTTGGAAGACAGCTCTCCAGACAGTTACTGTTGAAAATTGGATGTTGTATAAAACATACAGAAAATATAATAAAATAATACTGGGAAAAAGAGAATACACTACATTAGAAAAAACTTGGTATAACGGCACGGCACGCCATTGTGTAGTTCCAATTTTGGCTCTGATGATGATGATGTATCAAATACAAACTAAATATGATTTACTTGTATATTTACTCTCGTCAAATTATACGGTCTGAAATTTTTATTTTCCTATTTTTTTAATATTGTTTTAATTTTTATTACATGGACAGATTTTTCGGACAATGATTTATTATACAAATTTTCATAAAATTTTTATGTAGATTTTTGCCAAGTACAACTGATTCCATCTCTGTTACTTCCAAGTAATGTAATCGTGATCGTTAATGACGGCTGTCTTGCATTGATCAGATAGACTTTTCGGACAGAACAACATTTGTTGAAGTATAAGTGGAAGCAAGATGAACAATCTATTTTGTTCTGTCTAGCATTTTATTATTTTCTATGCCATCACAAATCGTACCGACTATAGTTAATACCTGCAGGTTGACCGCATAATGCTACAGCAGCAGTAACTATTAGAAGTAAGTGTTTTATTCCAACAATTTCATTTTCTACACCATCGAACTCTGCAAGGAGTGCATAAATTATGTTACATTGTTAAATTTGAAGAAAATATTACTGTAGTTAAGTGCTCACACACTGCTGCGCTTTGAATCATACTATTCATTTTCTGCAGCAGATGCAGTGCTTTATAGTTATGGTCTATTCATAGATATAAGGAAGTGACCAATTGCTTTTGAATGGGATTATCCAAGGGTGGTCAATTTTATACCTACCTGTGTTTAATGTTCTTTGGTTTGGTATACTACTTAGTTTAAGTTTATTAGTAATCATTCTTATTTCGTTTGTAATATAGCGTGTGTTGAATCGTGTGCGAATTATACAAAATATGTGCGAGTCTAGTGTATCTCAGAAGATGCTCCCGCTCAAATGTAGAAAACACTATTCTATTAAGACTAAGGAAGTTATAAACAATGTTTTTTTTTTTAATACTACGGTACGGTCGACAGCAAAAAATTAACATAAAACTCGGACGTCTATTCGTCTTAAACTAACCGAACGCGAGTTACGACGCGCAATTCGAACAATGCGTCCAATTTTTCGGGAAAAAATTCGGTGGAAATTATTTGATTTTCCCGTCGCAACGTCAGTCAACAATCGCAACTTGACATGTTTGATTTTTCGGCGGGCAATAAACAACCGCGAATTTTTGAATATTGCCGTGAAAAAAAAAACAAATTGCACATTCAATTCGTCGATTCGGACGCAACTGCCAAAAAAACGTTTTGATTTATACGTCAGCGCGTCGACCCAAACAAACATTTGATGTGTAGAAAAAGTTTGGATACTTTCATTTGAGGCATCCCAATGTGAATACGCTGAAAGCGCAAGTCGATGTTGTACAGTATACCACAGGATGACGCACTAAGAAATTCTTAGATCGGCCGCTGGTGGCAAGGGAAGAGGTGTTAGGCATAATCTTCTTCAAATTTCTCGTCTCGTTTACTCTACTCTATGTGTTACGTTATAAATAATAATAACATGCGTTTGACACTAGACGCTGTCTTCTTCTTCTTCCAGTGCCTTCTCCCTTTCATTGGAGGTTGGCGACCACTACTCCAAACGCTTCTCTATTCCTCGCAACATGAAACAATTCCCCCACATTCAACCCTGTCCAGTCCCTGACATTTCTT